CTGCTTCAGCAACAAAGAACTTTATATAATTCTTGTAAAACACCTGATTTCACAAAATACTGTACTTTGATGGCTATCTACCATCCTGACTGCCACAATGTGTATAAATATGTAAATGAGGAGCCCTTGGAGAATAAGTCAGTTGAAACTATCCCTCCAGTTATTTAAATTTTAAGACTTTATACCAAAATTATTGTGACTTTTTGCACAGCTGATACTGAGCTTTTCTGTCAATGTACTTCAGTTGTTTCTTAAGGCAACTCTTGATTTCTATTCGTAAAAGGGACTCAAAATAGTTTCCTTCTTCCCACAGCCAGAAGGCATGCCCTCAGTCCTAAAGCTGTTATCATATTGTCTAACTATATTGGAGAAAGTGCATGAAACCCTGCTGTGTGGATGACCATGGTAGGGACCACGGGCAGGCCACCCCAAGTTGTGCTGCTTTGGCATGCAGATTACGTCACAGCTGAAAACTGTCAAGACCCAAAGAGTCAGAAAGAATCTTTGACCTTACCCTTAACTGCATAGAAAGAATTTAGATGGAGGACCTGCTCCAGGAAGAGAGCTATCACTATAGTTAACAACACTGTAATATGAACTAGGGCGGTAGACAAGTGTGGCAAAGTCATTTAAAGGGAGCTGAGAAGAAAAAGGGAAATTGTGCTCCTCGTGCAGGTTGTGCATAAGGCTTGTAAAGGCAGTTTCAGAGGGTGAGTGAGGGGTTTGTAAGGAGTGGTATCAAGGAATTGTTTCAGGATATTATCTCTGTCATTCAGCTTCTGGTGCCACCACTTCATATGGTCAGCCTATGTTGATTCGCTGGCTTTCCCAAAACATGGTCAGGGAACTTGCTCTTTGATCTTTCTATAAGATAAACTGATACAAAAGAGGTTTTGTAATTTCTCTTTCCTCCCTCAGGGCAGTGATTCCCCCTTTGGAAACAGGACTTGTCATTAATCCCTGGGAATGTCCCTTCTGGCTTAAGACATGGTAGGTTAATAGTAGACCACATGGCTGGCTTATGGCTTACCATAAATTCTTCTTAAAAGACATGTTGGGAGCTTTAGCCTTTTAACCTTTAAGCCCCAAGATAGAGTCCCTATTGCTCTTCCCTATGCTGCCTCACTTTCAGAATGATCTTTTAAACCTTTCAGAGTCACATCATTTAATCCTCCTCTATTCCATGAAGGGATTGACTTCCATTGTGGAATTACAATGGTCTGAAGCCTGAGGAGTAGAAAAAAGGCACTCTGTTAGTCACCTTTATTTCTGGTCACAAATCATCCTCTTTATCTTCATTATTTGTAGATTCAGTCAGTATTTAAAAGTCTTTCACATAGACTGTTAGTTGTGCAAGAGGGCAGTGGCAGTCGGTAGGTTAGTAATTTTGCTTCACGCAGTGTCCTAGACTCCTCCACTGTTATGGAGATGTTATGATTTTTATTTCCATTACTAATAAGAAAAATACAAAAGTAGTTACAGTTTCATTCCTTCTCCCTGAATCTTTATTCATATGTTGAAGCCAGAATGATGTTAAAGCACAAATCTGACCATATCATATTGTAATGAATACTCAAACTCCTTGCCCTCAGTGTCCTGCCCTTTCCACCTCTCCCAGCTCACCCTCTGCTGTTCTCTGCCCTGTACATTGCACTGACTGCAATGGCCTCCTTTCTGTCCCTTTTGGACATTGCAGCCTTACTGCTACTCAGGCCTTTCCTGTTCCCTCCACCAGGAGTGCTCTTCACGTATCTGGAGGCTGCTTCCTTGCCATTGTTGAGGAGACCATCAAATGGCCCTCTTCATCCTCACCAAAATGGTGCCCCTCCTTTGCATGCTGGCCTTCTTCAGGTGTTTATCATTCTTAGAAAACAAATGGAGGAAACTGATAATTAGTAGAATTACAGGTTCATTAGGGCAGGAACACAGTCATGTTCACCCCTGAGTACTGGCTTCCTAAAATAATGCTTTGACGCAGTGGACACTTACTATGAGAATGAATATTAGTTATTGTCAGTCTGTATGACTTTTATTTCAATTATTATCTCTTTCATTATTGATAACATGTGAACAATGGTGTAGCTCCCCCCACCAACCCCTCCACTGTGTTTCTCTCTGTGGAAGTTAAGGGTTAATTTAGCAGAACTGGGAAATGTACCTAGTGGTACCTCTTAGATGCTCTGACTCCCCAATCCATGGGTGGTGGAAATAAAGTTTCATAAAGGAGAAACATTTCAGCAGTAAGGGTAGGGACATAATAGTGTCTCTGTAATTATATCTGAGAAATTGTCTACAGTTACTTTTTTAAAATACATTTTCAATATTGAGTTGAAGAGTTACATTTACCTATATACTTTTGTCTGATTGCCATAAAAAGAGGAGGGTGGTTTGTTTTTTTCTCAACAGGAGGATGGCTTTATGCTTCCGCATAAGAACATCTGAATTTAGATTTCTGTAGAAGTAACTTCACCCTGAAGTTGCCTTAACCATTGTGACCCACTCAAAGAAGAGGGAAGTCATTGGTGCTTTGAGCCCTTACCCCCTCCCTCTAGGGCCTCGTGAATATATTAATCAAGTGCTTCTAAAACTAGCCATTTTCCTCAGTATCACACACATCTATTTAGGCAAATAATGCTCTTCTTTAATTGGTTTCTTCAGGAAACTTTGAAGATCCATGGCTGCTTTCCCTACTTGTTTAGTGTAATGTTAATGCAAGCTTAGGTTGAGTTTGTAGTGAACTAAACCCCCTAGTTTTTTTCTCTGTTCTGTACTTACTTTTGGCTTTTTTTAAACCCCTCAAAAAATCTAGATGCAGGGTGCAGTATTTATAAAATTACATCTTGTTCCATTTGTTGTCCCACTCACTGAACATGTGATCTGTATATGAGAGCTCCCCTAGTTGTGGCATTTGAAAATGGTGTGTCTTTAATGTTTTCATTCAGTTTTGATGGAAAAGCAAGGAACAGGGTGAATATGTGATTTGATTGATAGTCCACTACTGATGAAGTTATGTACTTGCATTTGACTTTCTGATACTGTAGAGAATAAGTGAACACTGGTGTAGTTTGGTACCAGGAGAAGTAAGTGCAAAAAGAGTTGAAGGAGCCAGTTCTTGTGCTCATGGAAGTGTACATAGCGTTACTTGCAGTACAGTGTTCCTTTGAAGATAGTAGAGGAAGATACCAAGAGAGCATGTTTGTTCTGTTGCATTTTCTGTCTTAAAATGAGTAAACCACAAGTTTCATTCTAAGCTTTGTCCTGTGTTCTTCCATTTAAAATATGATGAATCAGATACTGCTGTTAGTGAGTTAGGAGGAGAATATTTGAAGGACAAATTAATCTCAGTTGGAAACTATTCCATAAAATGTTCGTTAGTGTGCTAGAAAGATTAGGGGAGGGTATAGTCACTGCCTCCCATTTCCTAGCACACATTTGAAATTAAACTCCTGTGGATAAATCACTCAAGACAGCTGGGCTTTGCATAGAGTACCTCAAAAGCTGGGCTTTGTATCTGTGAAAACTGCAAGGTGTTTAATATCCTGCAGGGTCTGTATTCAGTATCATTTGACATTGATAAAGAAAGCTTCTCTCTGCTGGTCCTTGTATTGTTTTCCTGGCACTCTTGGATATATGAAGTAGTTGTTAATATTGAGAATTGTGAAGTACTTTTCAGACTAGCTCTGATTTTGGGGGGCTGGAGGAAGTGATTTCTCAAAAAAGTTTTCAATCCATAATGGATTCTAGTTCCTAAGAATTTTCTTCTAAGAAGGGAATGTGATTTGAAACTGTAAAAAAGCTCACTTTTTCTTTTGTGTTCTGTAATAATAATAATAATAATAATATAATGGCTGCTTTGTAAATCTGGGAATTACAATAGTTTTCAAAATGTGAATTTAGAAAGGTAATTATATTGTAAGAACGTGGGAGCCAGAAAGTCTTTTTTGTTTTATGTGAATGTGTCAGCAGCTATAAAATGAATAAGCTTCCATCTTTTTGCAATTTTTATATATCCTTGGTTAAGTAAAAGTGGTGTCTTCACTTACAGAAGACATTGTATTCTCCTTGCATACCATTTTGTTGTCCTTTCAGTGTAAATGATACCTACAAAAACAAACAGTAGAAAGTCTTCTCATTTAAAACTTGAAATACAGTTAATGCTTATTTTCCATATCTTCCTAGGAACATGATAATTTTTAAATAAATGTTCCAAGTCACATGCTGTTACAGGTGGTGCTGACACACACAGTCTAATAAAATACAGCACCAGTAATTCTGCCAACCACCAGCTATATCAACCGTGTCTGTAGTTCTTTTGCAGTGCCTTCTATGGTTCTGTGAGTCCAAGGTGAGTTCAGGAAATATTTGTTGTTGAGAGTTAATAAAAAATGTTTGGTTTTGGGCCCTTTAATCTGTCCTTCCCAGAACTTGCGAAGATTTCCTGCAATGGGAGAGAAGAAATTTGGAATCTCTCCATCCCTGCACTTCTTTCTCTATCCATCAGCTTGGATTTTGTGTTTTACATACTAGCCCCACACAAGCAGTAACATCTTCTACTGATAACCCCTTCCCAAGTGAGGAAACATTTTGATGACAATAAATGTTTGAGCTTGTAAAAATAATTCTTGTGGCCTAAATAGATGGGTTAACTATTCTTTAAGTAACATTATTTTTGGAGAGCCTGTTATTTGTTTTTGAAATACTTATACCTAAAAAAAAGTCCTAACTAGTTAGGGCTTTAAGGTAAAAGTAGTATCAATCCCTGGAAAGATAAATAGCACACCTATGGAGTCTGGGGCAACCTGGAAAGGAGCCTTTTCTTACCTGTTTTATCACAGTAGTAACTAATAGTTGAATCATGAAATATTTTGATGATCATGAACTTCAGTTGTAGGTGCCACTTTTCTGTAAAGGAGTAAAAGTACCCCATTGTCTCGGTTGTAAGTTATGTTAAAAGCAGTATTGGGGAAGGTACGCATTTTATATTTGCATGTTTTTTCTAGCATTATAGTGAAGTCGTACTGTTTGTTCATCAGGAAACATTTAAGCGCCTACCTTGTGCTGGACCACGTACTTCACTCTCAAGGTAAAAAATGGGCTTTTTAGGCCCATAGCAATAACATAAATGTTCTCAAAGTTTAGAATAATATCTTTAGAAGAATGAGTAACTAATAATGCTGCTTTCAGAACACAGGTATGGCATCCTTCAAAATAATGAACTGTGTACCTTGAAGAGAAAAATTTATGTAACACAATTCTCTGTATACTGTTTAATATACATCTAAATTGTGAAAAGCATGAGCATAAGCTTAGTTGCTAGGACAACTTGAGGTTTTCTAGTCCATTTTTAATGAAGGATTCTCTTGGTTTGTAAACTAGATAGCACCTTTTCCCTTTTTTAGCCTATTTCATAATGTAGTATATGCTTTTCACATAGTGAGCTTCAGTAAATATTGGTGGTGATGAAAATTTCTGATCTCTTAACCATCATGATCCTTCAGAATTAAAATTTCTGGAGAATTTTAGGGACAGCTTATATGTCCTGAATTTCTGAATAGATGAACATTTCAGAAAAGTCAGGTACCTGGTTCTGTGAATATGTATGCAAAGGCAGGTAGGGCAGACTGGTAAGAACCACACTGCCTAGGTGTGAATAGTAGCTCTGTCCTTAACAGCTTTGTGACCTTGGACAAATTACTTACTCTGTTTTGCTTCAGTTTCCTCAACTGTAAAATGGAAAGTAATAGTACTGATTTCATATGGCCATACTAAACTAAGACAGTTTGGAAATCTTAGTTATTGTTACCATCATCATTACAGCCATCCAGCTTTATGTAAAATTGATAGCACAGTGCTCTATACAGTAAACATTCAAAATTGGGTGGTTTTCCTTGTACATTCGATAACAAGCCAGAGAGATAGCACTCTGAGGTGGTGTTGCTGCCCTGGGCATAATTTCAAAGAATTTATTTTGTATGTGACCTTGTGGCCAAAGGTTCCTTCTCTTATCTACCCCTGTTTTCCTTCAAATATGCTATGTCCGTTTTGCAATTTTCTGGCCAGTTCCAAAAGGCTGTAAGGAGCCATACTACTCTGAACCCTATTTGAGCTGAATGCCCATTTTCCCCCCCTCCTTTTTAATGAACTGAATAACCGAAGGTTAACAAAGAATCAATGGGTGTACACCTAACCACAGTTGTAGTGAAACAATTGTATGATTGTATATATAGATATCTCTTCCCAAAGACTAGGAGATCTGTGGAGATGGATGATTCTGTCTCATTTCCACTGTGTCCCTGACACCTGGTACTCGGATACACCTGGAATGAAGAAATAATGTTTGGACACCTATTTTTTTCATACTAATGTCAGTAAGAGATTACAAATAAATGTATGTGAATGATGGTCCAAACCTCTTCTGAAACTTACTGCTAATTGAGGAGGTATGCAATTAATAAATATAGAGTTAGAGAAACCCAACCTTAAGTACTTGAATTAATGAGAAACTAGCTGTAAGCTGTTACCTATCCTGTTCCCTGATTACATTTTGAAGGGGATGGTGACCAATTGCTAGGTACTGGATATGTGTGGGACCAGTGTAGCCTTTATCAAGGAGATGGATATACTCAAGCTTTTAATTAAAATTTACTGTAATAAAGAACAAATGCCAACTAATTCTCAGGGAGAAATTCATTCGTTCATCTCTTCATCACATTCATATCTTTTAATCCTCCTTACAGCCTTGAGGAGTCAATAGCAGCATGTCTGATATTTATTTTGTAGACATGATCTGTAACTTATGTATGACAGAGTCTGAAATTCAGTGTTCTGAGGGAACAGAAAAGATGAATGTAAGATTGGAAAAGTAAAGGAATTTAGCAACTAATTGTATACTGAGGAGAGTGAAATCAGGGATGCTTTTAGGCTGAAGCGGCTGATACTTGAACTGAAATAGGAAGGAATAGAACAGTGTTTCCTAAAGTGTTCTGTGGAATACTGGTTGCAGGGGATATTAATAGGTGCACCATGGAAAAAAAAGTGTAGATAAAAATAACTTCAGGAAATGCAACATAAAATATTTCCCTCTTGTAGATTCAGAAATGTTTGAGGGTACAAAAAATTGACTATAAAGAAACCTACTTAATGTGCTAACCTGTTCACATCATAGCTATTACCATACTGTGAATTAGCCTTTTCTAAGACTCAGTTTGGAAATGCTAGGTCTAGAAATGTCAGTAAGAGATTACAAATAAATGTATGTGAATGATGGTCCAAACCTCTTCTGAAACTTACTGCTAATTGAGGAGGTATGCAATTAATAAATATAGAGTTAGAGAAACCCAACCTTAAGTACTTGAATTAATGAGAAACTAGCTGTAAGCTGTTACCTATCCTGTTCCCTGATTACATTTTGAAGGGGATGGTGACCAATTGCTAGGTACTGGATATGTGTGGGACCAGTGTAGCCTTTATCAAGGAGATGGATATACTCAAGCTTTTAATTAAAATTTACTGTAATAAAGAACAAATGCCAACTAATTCTCAGGGAGAAATTCATTCGTTCATCTCTTCATCACATTCATATCTTTTAATCCTCCTTACAGCCTTGAGGAGTCAATAGCAGCATGTCTGATATTTATTTTGTAGACATGATCTGTAACTTATGTATGACAGAGTCTGAAATTCAGTGTTCTGAGGGAACAGAAAAGATGAATGTAAGATTGGAAAAGTAAAGGAATTTAGCAACTAATTGTATACTGAGGAGAGTGAAATCAGGGATGCTTTTAGGCTGAAGCGGCTGATACTTGAACTGAAATAGGAAGGAATAGAACAGTGTTTCCTAAAGTGTTCTGTGGAATACTGGTTGCAGGGGATATTAATAGGTGCACCATGGAAAAAAAAGTGTAGATAAAAATAACTTCAGGAAATGCAACATAAAATATTTCCCTCTTGTAGATTCAGAAATGTTTGAGGGTACAAAAAATTGACTATAAAGAAACCTACTTAATGTGCTAACCTGTTCACATCATAGCTATTACCATACTGTGAATTAGCCTTTTCTAAGACTCAGTTTGGAAATGCTAGGTCTAGAGGAATTTGGCAGTTGGTAATAGGAATGGAGTTTTGGGGTTTGAGCTTGTGGTTGGAACTAAAAATTAAATTACCATCAAGGTTTTGGAGATGAGAGAACAATGAAGCTCCAAAGTATAGTTTTGTAGGTGAAGTAAGTGGAAGCAAGACACAAAATTTGGAAAAGGAAATACTAATAACCAGTTGTAATAATTGAACCCAAGACTATTGAATTACATGTGAGTTTTTCAGATGAAAAAAGGTGCAGCTTTTCAAAGCTTCAAGTGTATATGAATATCGTACCAGCTTCTGTATAATCCACAGTAGTCAAATAAGGAGTGCAAGTAGTGTTTATAAATACCAATCTGGAGTCCTAATAGTGAGTGCTGTGAGATAAAGTAGGGGACCCAGATTTTGCTGGGATGGGTAAAGAGGCAGAAAGGGAGGCAGCTGTGCCATTCAAGAGACACAGAAGGAATGCTTAGAGAGAGAGAAAACAAGAAAGGACACATGGAAGGCAAGGGAGGGGTGTTTCACAGGATAGGCAGTCATAGGTGTTAGAGAAGAAAGGAGTATAAGATCACTGGACCTAACTCCTCTATTTTATACATGAGAAATGTTAAGACCATGTAAAGGGATAGAGTGGTTTGCTCAGGATTAAATGTCACAGCAGAGTCAGGATTAGAATCTTGTCCTTTCATTGTTGTGTGTTGGTACTCTAGAGATTTCAGAAAGGAAGAGATTGGTAATAATGATGTTGAGGTATCTCCTCTTTTAGGAGAATGAATACTGGCCGTCCCCCAAAAGGCCCTCAAAGGATAGGGATTAAATCCTTTAGTATGAACTATGGTAAAGAGTCTGAGTCTGGCAGCCTCTGAAAACCAGTTCATCTATACTCTAATAATTGATTTTTGGGGTCAGGTTCATGTTACCTAAGCTCATGAGATTGATGTAAAAAGCAGAATGCCAATTTATTAATTTTAAGTTTAAAAGAAAAAAAAATGTCCTGGGAAACAGACTCTCAAGTCCTTGCTAGGCCATTTTCTTCCCCACAGATTTGCCACATGGGAAACCACATTATAATTAGGAGGTTGCTTAGTGAGTGTGTAGGCAGAACAAGTGGTATAATATGTTTGGAATGTGTAACAGACTCAGGCTTTTCTTAACTTCTCCAAGACCAGTTAGTTCATCTGGCGATTGGGAGTAATAATAGTGCCTTGTTCTTGGGGTATTGGGAGGATTAGGTAGAGTTTACTGTAAATTGCTTAGCACAGTACTTGTCAGAGCATCCTACTATTAACTCTGATAACTAATATCAGTGTTTCAATTGTGTGTAGTTAAGATACAAATATTTCTTGAACCTCTCTGTCATTTGGAATTCTTAACACTGCTTGAATGAGAAAGGCCAGACTTTCTTTTTCTGTTCTGATGGCTATCCTTTGCCTGTACTCTCATGATTGGACAGCCTGCCTCTGAATGTTAAATGTCTTTTTCTCCCATTAAGTTAAATTGGCTCATTCCATCTCGCTAATAATGTCAGATCTTGAGTCCTGAGTTCCATTTTGCTCTTTTTAGGATGCTCATTGTGGATGTGCTTCTTGGTTGATTACATTAGGTTGAACCAATGAAATTGCTGATGTTCTACTGGTTTTCATCTTCAAAAATGGCAGTGTCATATGGCTTAATCTAATACACTGATTTTAAAATTTAATTCCTCCCAGATGGCCCCAACAGTTTCCATTAAGAGAGGCTAAGTCTGTTGACCAGTTCTGAAGCCTTTGCTTTACATGCAATGGGCTGTACCATTGCACTTCTCTTCCTGTGATCAGATTCTGAGAAATTTCTTGCTGTATGTGTGCTTGTGTCTTTTGTGTGGTATGCCATTTTTCCTCTTCTCTTTACATTTAGTCTCTTTTGTTTAGGCCAGCATTGGACATATGATTATTTGTACTTTCTTGATTGCTATTTTACATAATGCATTTTTTAGTAAAGTTATTAAGATTACTAAACCAGTGTTTGCTGCTCAATATACGTACTGTGCATGATCTCCTAGATCATAGCCCTTAACTTTAAAATGTTCACATTTTTGGTAAGGATGTTGTGGGTCACAGTACCAGAGTTGGCAAATTCTTCCATTGAACTAGAATTTCAGTGTAATGCCGATAGATCAAATTAATAATGCCTAACAGTTGAAGAGAGATACTTCAGTTTTATTTTGCTCAAATAACATCCAAAATATTTAGGAAAGGAAATAATTTGGAGGCTGCTCGGACAACGTAGCTCATTTCCCGCTCATCCTTTCTAGTTCTTGTGCATGTACAGCATGTGATCTGTATGATTATAGTCATTGGATAAATGTATTTCTGTGTTTTCCTCCTGAATATTGTATCACAAAGAGTGTTCCTGTGCCTGGTTGGCATTTAGTTTTCTTAGTCATCATTTTTTTAAGTCTCCAAGAATCTTTGTCAGTTAATCATCTAATTTTAATTGTGGGAAGAAAACCTTTTTCCCTCTCTAGGGTGTCACTCTACTATACTTTTTCAAGTAGACCAATCTAGTATGTAGATTAGCTGTTAAAAATTCTGGATGTGTGGTATAGCCCTCTTGCTTTTAATTCTTAAATATTTTTAGATGTCATTATATATAAGAACATCACATTCAAATATTGAATTAAATTTCTTCATTTAACAAATATGTATCATGCGCCTTCTATATAGGTAGGCTAACTTAAGTGTTTACTGTATGCAGTCTGTTGGAAACTAATTTAAAATGTTGCTACTAATTATAACAAATAGCCATAGTTTATTGAGTACATACTGTTACATGCCAAGACATGCCAGGCATGAAGACATGGGGATGATTATAAGATAGTTTATGTATTAATTCATTTAAACTTTCTCAAAAATTATGAGGCAAATGGTACCCCCATTTTACAGAAGAGGAAGCTGAAACACTGGGTAAATTGCCCAAGGCCACTCAGCAGGTACAGGAAAGTGTTTGGAATGAAATCTGAGAAGTTATGGACCTGCCTTCATCATAGTCAGGATTCGGTGGTGGGCCAAGCATCCTATTGAATGCTAACGAATCTCTGCTTCTCTGGAATTGACAATCTCATTTGCTGGTACCCCAGATGGGCTGAAAGGACCACTATTTGTCTTCATTACATGCCACACGTGCTCCAGTTCAGTTCAGTTACCCCATATTGAGTAGTTTCTGTGGGCAAGGTGTAGCTGCTCTAGTGGTCACTAGGAGACACAGAAATGAGCAAGACCATCCTTCCCTTAGCGCTTACAGTTACTCAGGAAGAAGGCTGTGGACACAAATAATTGTAGCACACATTTAATGTTATTGTGACTTGAAAGAACTGCAGAAGCAGAGAGAAATAGACTAATTTCATGGCATGGGTCAGGTAGAGGGGGCATTTAAACTGTTCCTAGGAGGAGAAGTTAATAGAAAGGAAAAGGAAATAGACCAATTTTGATTAAGGAAGATGACACCAGGAGACTGAAACTTACCCAGAGAAAAAGAAGGCGGGGAGAATGAGAATACTGAAACAAATGGATGAGAGGAGGGATGTGGGTTTGGTTCAGATACCCATGCCAAAGCTGTCAGTATGTCTTCTATTGAAGACCTCTACTGACGGTAGGTGCTTACAGCCTACATGCTGCCCAGCGTCTGTCACCACCTTCAAAGTACTCCTTCCTTGATGCTTCATTTTACTTTCTGCAATTGCTGTGAAAGGAAATTAAACATGGTCTGATCTTCTCAAAAGATAATGCAAGTCTCTCATTAATTTTATAAGATAACTTAAACCACCTGTATTAAAAATTATCCAAAGGAATTAGGAAGCCAGGAGCTTTGGAAAACTGCATGTTTTCTCCCCGTCAGTACTACGCTAACCTGAAGTTTTGGTTTTCTTTTTTATGTGTGTGTGCATTTATTTTAGTTCAGTTTTCTGTTTCGGGAGTTTGAGGATTTTAATTGCATTAATCTTTCACAATGCAAACTTTACTCCTGTCCATTTTTATTCTAGTGAACAGTTAAGCCATTTTTCAGCCTCTTGAAGAGCTATAAAAGGAACAGAAGTTGTGGCTACTGCCCTCAGGAAGCTGAAGTTGTATTTGAGGATAGAAGATAAAGTACAAGTAGATATCAAAGTATCGGCTCTTCCCCATGCTGCCTCCTTGTTCTCCTGTGCTCAGGCATATCAAACTGTCAGTCATACCTCTGTGCTTTCAGTCACTTCCGACCCTACCTCACTCTGCCTCAGTTTTAGGTGTATCTTTTTGACAATGAAGCCTTTCTTGAAACCATTATACCCATTGAACACTTTATCCCTCTGTGTTCACCAACTCTTTCATGATACTCTACAACACTTAATTGTATTTGCCTGTGTACTTGTCTTTTCTCCCTCATTTAGGCTGTAAACTCCTTGAAGAAAGAGCCTTGGACGCAGAACTTAACATATGTTTGGGACTGGTAGGAACTCCAGAGAAGAACAGTAGGTTTGGGAAGGGCCAGTGTAATATTAGTGACTGATGTGCAAGATTCTCAAATGGAATGTTCAGTTAACAGTTGAAAACACAGGCCTGAGGCTTGATCAAGTTCTTAGATGTAGATCATGATGTGGTATCACCTGCCAATAGAGAGGTTGTAGGGAGGAGAGGTCTGTGGGTGGATCCCTTAGTGATAACCTCAGTTAGCGTGTATAGTAAAGATTTTAAAAGCCAAGGAATATGGGCTAAGGAAGAGGCCTGGGAGAACTAAGTAATCAGTATAGTGGATAGGAAGGAAGAACACTGTCAAATGACACAAAATTACATAGGAGAATGGGGACTGAGAAGAAACCTTAGGTCATTCATCATCATAAGCAGCCAACGCAGGATGTGAGGATGGATCCAATTTGCCAGGGGGTCAGGGTGAGTATGGCTGACCAAGAAGCATTGAGGATGGACCTTATTAAAAGGTATGGGGAAAGGAGGCATGAAGAAGGGATAACTTATTTGGTTAACAAAATCCAGGAGAGGCTTGTTTTGGTGGGGAGGAGAGGGAATGATGTTTTATGTGTTAGAATGTATCTGGAAATACTGGTTAGGAACCAGTACTAAGTGGCTTGCCATGACAGTCAAGGAAATCAAGGTCTGACATGAGAATCCTGGGTAGAAAAAAAGAGCTGCAGTGATTTAAGAGCTTGGAAAGAAGGAGGAACATGATAGCCAGTTAGACATGTGTCAGGGGTCATATATGACTGAGAAAAATTCATTTCCAATGGAACTAAGAACTCAGTTAAAAAAATTTTAACCAGCATTGCCCTGCCAGATGGTATGTCTACTCAGGGGTAGCTAATGAAAGGTATCCATCTGGTAGGAGGGTGAAAGAGCAAGTGAGGCTTAATTAAGAGCAAAACTGGAGTCACTGACCATTGGGAAGTTCAATTTTTTTAGGGAGGTAGGTGTGATCAGCAGGGGTCTTGACTGACTGCCTTTGAGCCTGGAGTTCAGAATGTACACCCAATACTCCTCATAAGTAAGGAGAAATAAGGGGAGATGCTATACCAGAGAAGAAATCTTTAAAGTGGAACAGTTACACATGATGATGACTTGTCATGTGTGGTTCTGCCCTTGAATAGCACTCACGAGATACAGATCAGTCTTGGAATGACTTGTCAGGAACTGTGTGAAACCAGAGAGTTTGAAGGATCATCATGACGTGGTGGAGTGGTTACAGTTCAACACATCTCCCGATGTCCATATTCTTTGCACTTCGGTGAGCTCACTATAAATCAAATTCTTGCCTAACTTCTTAAAATATGGCTTACTTATTTTCAGACAGGTTCTTTGTGTTGCAAAAGTGAGTATTGGTTTACTGAGCCCATCTTTAGTAACCTCAGCTGGAAATTGCAAAAGACCATCAACTATCAAACTGTATAAATAAAAAAGAGATTAGAGAAATGAAAAAGTGTTTTCTACCCTTAGTTCTGTCTTCAGTTGTTTAAATATTGGGTAAATAATCCTTGAGGCCTAGGGTTTTTAATTAAGAAAACAAATCTCATGTTAAATTTACAGTTAAGAGTTATGCCTCCCTAAATATTGCCAACTTTATTTTTGTGAGCTTGTTCGGTGACATAATGAGCATCCTGTTTCCTTAAGCATTTAAGTGTAGGTTCTTGTGAACTGACAGGATAGAAGCTCTTAAGAACTGAGTAGGCTGATGGAGCAGCTGGTGTGACATTCAAGTGTTCATATTGCCTTCTAGCTCCTGAACAGAAGGGTAAAAAAGCAGTTTTAATTTAGAAATCTCTTCCTTAACTATAGCTGAAATTCTCAAAACCAGTAAAACTAGAAAATGATAGAACATTTTGTTCTCCTATTTAACTGGAGATAGAATATGTTCTTACATTTGGTGGTAAGGTGTACAGGATTATATAAAATTAACTTTCCGTATATTTGAGGTTTTCAGAGGTTTATCTTTTATTTAGGAAACTATTACTGTTAGGATGAAAATTCTTGAAATGCCTAAATGAAGCAATAGAGTAGGAGAAAAAAACAAAGGACAGCTCATTTTAGGGAAGAACAGGAGAAAGGTAGGTATCTAAATTATGGTTCTCCATTAAAAGTGTTAAATTTTAACAAATTTAGGTGTTTAAGACCACTTCCCATATGTTCAAAATGAAGCAATGTTAGTCTCCACATTTCCTATTTTGAATGAGTCAAATTATTTGCAGTATATGTATATCAATATACTTGGTATTAAAATTAAAACAATTTAACAGCTCAGAGCATTTTTCGACTATTTCAATTATTCATGCAAATTAAGAGCCTAATAAAGAAACATGATTAATTTGCTTAGGAAATTTTGGATTAAGGTGGTAATCCAGCAGTTTTTTTCCATTGTCACAGTTGAGCACACACTTACTATCCACAGTACATTCTCCAGACCAGTAGCATCAGCGTCACCATTGCCTGAGAAATTAGAAATGTAAATTTTTGAGCCCTACCAAGGTGTACCAAAATGAAACTCTGGGGCTGGGGCCCAGCAATCTGTGCTTTAAGGAGCCCTTCAGGGGCTTCTGATGCAAGCTGAAGTTTGAGAAACCCTAATCTGTAGTATGTAGCATTAATACATAAATGATTTTAATAATCCAGTATGTGACCCTACACTTTTAAATTTATCCTGGTTGTAGTAAATTCAAAGGGATTGGATTTTTTTGACTGTGTAAGTGCAACCTTGCAAAACTAGGACAGCCCTTTAGGAGGTGCAGTTATCAGTGTTTGGGATAAGATGATTCCAACAGACTTGACCATCAAGCATTTAAAATGTCTATAGTGAAATTCAAGATATCTGTGTTTGGGATCATTCACATTAAAATTTTATCACATACTTTTGTTAATTAAGTACTTTATTGGCATAAACAAATAATCTGTGCTTTAAATGACATTATCAAAAGCAAGAGTAATTGCCTTACAGCCCCAGGGAGGGGTATGAATCTCCAATTTATTGAACCTATTCTGCTTCGGGCTGACATATTTCTTTATAAACTAAAGACTGGGGAATAGGAGCTGTCTTTGGGGCTAGGATAAGGAAACCAGGTGATGTTATTCACCCTTTGACTGAGTCAGACTGCTGTAGTGTGGTTTCACCATTTTAATTGAATTGTGAAATTCTGAACTATGAGAGAAACAAAAAAATAAATCTTGTAAGTACACATGGAAATGAATTTTAATTGTTATCTATGAATTGATCTCATGGGCTAAAACCAGGTGAAAATAATTATGGTTAGGATTACAGTGACACCCAGTTCCTCCCCACTGATTCCCTGGACAAGTTACTTAAGAAGAGAAACAGGCAGTGGAAAATGAGAGCAGGCAGCCAGCAGTGAGAACAAGAATCAAGCAAGCATCAGAGGAATTAAGGCAAAAGCATTTCAAGAGTGAAGGAGTGGTTAGCAGTAGCAAAGGTTGCCAGTAGGTCAGATAAGAGGGTCTAAATAAATATGTGCATTAGATTTAGGAACATGAGGGGTCAGTAGTCACCTTGAAAAGTAATTTCAGTGCAGCACAGAAGCCCCTAGATTGAAGTTGGTTCCTCTTTAACTGTCAGTTCAATGCAGATAAGGTAGAAATAGGAAATCTCAGAGAGGATGATAGCATAGGGCTGAGGATTCTTTGACCAGATGGCCCTTGTGAGTAAGCTTTTTCTTCTTTGTTATTTGTATCTAATTGTGAGCTTTGTTAACATACTGATTTGGTATAACTTTAATTTAGCTTGGGTAATCCTAACAAATTATTTCTCATGTAAATTTATCATTTCCTTCAGGCTTTATGTAATACTAAAACTCAGCATTATTTGCATGGCTTCAAGGATCTAGGACCCTGGTTAAAAACCATTGCTATGTAGCAGTCATTGCATAATTCATCTGAAAATCTTTTTACTTCTGTTCTCTAAAAAGACATAAAGAAAACTTAAGCTTATATATTATTTTGTATACAAAGATGGTTTGAAAACTTGAATACTATGACTTTCTCTTAACTCATGACACACATCTAGGATATTATTTTAAATATAGGATTATGAGGTTTTGTTTTGCTCTTTTTAGATTGTTATTGTTGACTATTGTAAAATCTGTTTTTCAGACTGATCTTTAGCTTAATGTTTAACAGGAACAATTTCTGTTCAGTAAACATCGAACACCTACTATATTCCAGACTGTGCTGGGGGTTAAAAGTAAATGGCACAAATCCTGCCTTGAGTTCACAGTTCGTTGGGGAAGACAGTGAGGTAAACAGATCATTGCAGCTGTGTGATAAATGCTATAATAGAACAGCAAATTAGTGCCTCCACTATTCTAATCTACTTGTTCCCCACCCTGAGAGATTTGTTAAAGTGGTCATGCTGAATTTGTCCCTGGCAGCAGCTGTAACTTGCTCTTTAAACTATTGTACTTACTCTCTGCCTCTGGAAGAGTCTAGTAGATGTAAAATAACTTACTGGAAAGAGCGGGATTAATTTTTAGTCAACACAGACACACAGTGACGGTATTTATGAATCCTGTGAAACCAAGAAAGGCATTGTAGACAATGCTTATTTCCTGCTTTATCGGTTTTGTAAAAGTGAAATCCTGTTTGGTGAATTTATTCTTGTTTCCATGTGTCATTCTTTACTCACCTCATGTGAATTACCTTCATAAACAAGCTTTATAGTCTTTATGCTCCTTTATGCAGTTTGTATGCTTTCTTTATGCCACTTAAAAAATGAAAAATGTGAGTTTAGAGTACTGTCAAAATTGAGTTATCCCTTGGTTCTTCCAAATGTTTTAATGAAATAATTTGAATATAATAAAACTTTGTAAGAAGAAACTCCCCACCACTCACATGATCTTGAGATATCTACTCTTTGAGATGCATAGTATTTAGATTGTTCCTTCTCCCATTAGTCAGGTATTACCCACCATTACTTTTATATTTAGTAGTTTATGGTAAATTTTTATCATCTTATTAAAAATTGCTGTAATTGTTGGAAGACTTAAAATTTTTAGGGTGGGAATCAGGTATAAGCTTATTTTTTATTCTGTAAAAGTGACTTTATAAGATTGAAAGATCATAGTACATCTTGCTAAGATAGGGAGATCCAAGATGAATAAAGCATGTATTTTTGTCTTTAAATTTTAATATAATGGGTTTATATTTAGGCTAATTACATTGTAGTTACACTGTCCAAGTCCCCAGGGGGTGGCGGCTTCTGGTTGTCCACACTGTATCTAGTGGGCCAGGGTAGGGTGGGTGGCACAGGGCTGGATTTCTTCATTTCTGAGATAGTGCTCTCTGCCAAAATGCTGTTAGCAGCCACAGTGAATCACAGCTATAAAAAACTAGTTATCCCTCTTTCCACAAGTACTTGTTGATAAAGGGAGTTGAATTAATTTTTATATTAAAAGAAAGAAAAGAAACTAAGAAAATGGAGGTTTCTTGAGTGTTCTTTTTTGAAAGGCTGCAGTTAAAAACAGTTTTTTAGCCTTTTGTCAGTCAGATGGTGCATCTGACAGCTTAGGGTGTCAGTATCTATTTCAAGTACGGTGCCAGTTATTTCCCCGGGAGGAGCCTCCCTAAGACCTATACATTATTATGATTTACCCCAACAATTTAAATTTAGTCTTTAACCCTTCTTTCTAAGGATTTTGTGAATATTGAATGCTTTCTTTTTTTATAAGCATCTTTATACTTTTTGTAATTAGATTATTATCAGTGTTTGGTTTCAGTGGTTACATGGACAACTGGATTTTGGCACCAACATCCCTTTCAGCTTTTCAATGCTATGATTCTTTCCTTTATAACCATTAACAGGATGATGATGCCTTGTAAAAATTTGTTTAAGGTTAGTATTTTATTTTGATTTAGAAACTTTTAAACAATTATTCTCTTATTACATAAATGAAAAGACACCTTTATCTTTCTAGAAGATTTTATTTTTCAAGCCCAGGGCCCATAATTTTTGTTCCAATAAGAACCAGTCATGGATTAAGAACTTTGTAAATACTGATTTTTTTTTTAATTTTTTAAAATTCACTGACCTAGTAAATAGGCATTTGACTTAATACTTAAATTATTTCAGGATATCAGATGAAAAGCCAAAGAGATTTCATTGAGCTCTTTCAGTGTGGATACCTTAAGAGAACTGTTTGGGTTTTGTTGGGAAAGAATATGTGAAATTAAAAGTAATTTATGCACCATAGTAGTTATAAAATGTGTAACTATTAGAAAAATGAAGAG